ATTCAGAAGTATAACACAGAGAGAAGTATTATGAGAATGATGTTGCAGAATTAAACTCTAACAATGAAAGAAAGATCTGTGATATGTTCCAGTTTGGAGAAGAAAAATACTGCCTATGCAAATATTGCGCAGAAAAAAACCACATCTGGAAGTATATATATCAAGGTGTTAGTAAATTAGCCACCAGGGAAATGCAAATCAAAAACCATAATGAGTTACCACTTCACACCCACTAAGATGACTATAATAAAAAAGGCACATCAGAGCAAGCGTTGGTAAGAATGTGGAGATGCTGGAACCCTCCTATACTGCAGGTGGGAATTAAAATAGCGCAGTTGCTTTAGAAAACAGTCAGTTTCCCAAAAAGTTAAACATACAGTTACCATATATAGGACCCAGAAATCCCACTCCTAGATATATACCCCCCCAAAAATAAAAATATATGGCCATTCAAAAATTTGTATTCAAATGTTCATAGGAGCATTATTTATAATAGCCAAAAAGGAGAAACAACCCAAATATTTCATCAATTAAAGAATGGATTAACAAAATGTGGTGTGACAATATAATGCAGTGTTAACAGCAATAAAAGCAAACGGAAGCACTAATGCACACTGCAACCTGGATGGACCTTGAAAACATTATGCTAAGTGAAAGAAGCCAGTCACAAAAGACCACATGGAATATGATGCCATTTACAAAATTAGTTATTTGCCTGTCAGAGGCTGGGAGAAATGGGGAGTGACAGCTAATGTGTATGAAGTTTTGGAAAAATGAAAACTGATTGTGACCATGGTTGCACAATTCTGTGAACTGTACACCATTGAACTGTACACTTTAAGTAAATGAATTATATGTGAATTATATCTCAATAAAGTTGTTAAAGGTAATATTTGGGTAGTAGGATTGTAGAAATTTTTTTTTTCCCATTTAGACTTATCTATGCTTTCTAACTTTTCTACAATGAATATGACTATTTTGAGAGATTAAAAAAAACCTTCCCATGTTATCATATAGAAGTGTTCCCATGTTAACATTTAGGAAGCACTAAACACATAAAAGATTTGAAAAAAAAGTGAAATACACCTTTCCTTATAACAGTGGAAACTGCAAACAATCCATATGACCTCAGCAGAATGGTCACTAGGAAAAGCAAGGCTTAGTACCATGTCAACCCTGGTCCCCACGCCAGGGCTGAGCACAGAGAGCTTAAATATTTTGTCCTGAATGATGGCTTACTAAAGTGCTACTAAAAGTGACAAATGCACTCAGAACATTTCCTAACAGGGTATGGGAAACCTTCTGTGGGAGCGAGGGAGGGAAACCAAACAAATATATAAACACATATTTTTACACATGGAACAAAGATGGCAAGATAATCAAAAGTGATTTAGACTGTCCAGATGTAACTTAAATCTTTAAAAAGAAATGCAAGCTAGGAGCTTATGATTAGCTTTTTAAGTTCTACTTTCCCAATCCATATCTAGTCTTTTTAAAATATCTCTGAGAATGTGTTGCTCTGTGGCAGGTTACCAAACACAGAATATAGCAAAGATAAAGATGGGGAGGGGGTGTCGCAGCCTCTGGGAAATATATTCAACCCGCCTGTTTCTTATTCATGGACTGTGATTCACCATTGTGTAAGCCAGCATCACACTCTAATCATATTGCTAGGTTACAGGCCCCAAGTTATTTGTGCATAATAAAAATGGAATCCATTTGATACATTAGGTTTTTCTACCCTATATCACCTCTTTGAGGAGAACATTTGATCATTATAACACACACACAATACTGAACCAAAAGATTACTTTGGATGCCCAAACCAAAGAGGTTTCCAATGATTCTTCTACCTGAAAAACGGAGTCAGAATCTGAGGCAGGCAAACAGCCATCCCCCAGGCCCACGCAGGTGGTACTGCTCCGTCCGGACGTGAACCCACTGTCCTCCATTCTGGAATATGGTCTACTGCCGAACTCTCTCAAGAAGACTTCTCATACACTTCTCCTTGCTCTGAGAAGCTATGCTACTGTGGAAAGCCCAGTGGGCAGGCAAGCTAATGAAATCACTCTCACACACACACACACGTGCACAACTACAGTCTCATCTCATGATTAGCAGCCCTGATGACATGAGCTTCATGAAACATTCTCCTCCTCGCCTCAGAATAAATACGTGCTATCTCCTATGAGGATAATTTACGCAGGTGATAACCATCAGGATGCCCGGTAAGTGAGGACATTCTGCATTAAGACTCCTGTCTCAGATGATATTCTCAGTGTGTTTCTATACGTTCCGGGCCCTCAGTTCTCAGTGACGTTTTTTATTCCGCTCTATAACCAAATAACTGGTTTTATTCATTATGTTGTACACCTGAAACTAATATAACATTGTACATCACAGTAACTGTAAAAATTATTTAAAAATAAAGTCAAAACACTGAATAAAAGAATGCTATCCTATATAATAAAAGAGTAATATGCAAATTGTCCCCTCGCCTGGGAGTTTGTCCCTGAGTTCTACCAGGGGGCAGGGCCAGCTGGGGGAAGGGAGGGAGGCCCGGGCAGCCACTAGAGACCCAACCATTGCACGAATTTCAGCACTGGGCCTCTAGTATGTTATAACGGAAGAACATATTTTGCCACAAACGCTACAGATCTCTTCGGTACTTAGGAGGGGCACCTCAACACGGGAAACTGAGGACTACAGGACAGCGATGATGTAACACAAACCCACATGAGGTTCAAGATCCAGGTGTAGGAAGGAGGGGAAAACTCCCTTGGTTAAGTCTCAAAGCCTTAATGACACTGATGTTATTGCATTTTGATCTGAAAGCCTAGAGGTGCAGCCATGATGAGTCAATGTCTGGCTCAATCAGACACAAAATGAAAGAAAAATCACAGTATTGCCTCCAATGCTCTAGTTATGTCATCAATCAAAAAGAAACAGCATTCAAAAATGCTCCTTGCAGACACATAATATATATATATATATATATATATATATATATATATATATATTTTTTTTTTTTTTTTTTTTTTTTTTTTTTTAATGACGGAGAGTATAAAGCACCTGTGTTGGGGGATTCGAGGGGTGAGGAGAGTACATTTATCATCTATGAAGTGCAAGGTGCCTGCAGGCATGTTAGCATGTTAGCTGTCCCCGATGCACACACAGCAAAGAGTCTCTAAGAAGTAAAATAACTTGCCTGAGGCTTGTCTAATTTTACAGTCAGTGCATTCTACACAACATCACTGCTGCCTGGTTTTAACTGCCCACTTTGCAATGGGTTTCGTTTAGAATTTTCAAGTAAGAATTCTCACTAGATTTGGGAATAGAAATTTTTACTGGCAAATAATGCTGGGAGTGAAATTCTGACCTTTTACCTAAAAATGTAATAACCCTAAAACATAACCTTTCATGAAGGGTCTGGAATATTTTACCGGGAACTCTGAGAAGTCTGGATTGCTAAATACAATTTGCAAATATTTACATGAAATGAAACTGTATTTCCAACTAACGCTAAATAGTTATTTGGGGCTGTTTAAACCTAAGTTATTCAATAACTACAACACTAGACTCCAATGAAAGAACAGCATGGAAATATGTGGCAAAGAAAACCATACACACTTTGGACTTCATTATTCGAAATGATCAGTTTCCATGCCATACGTATGGTCATTCTCTTATCTGTGAACATATGCCAACCAGCAGTTAACCACTCCAAGATAGAGTGTTGAAGTTCAAAACCTGAACCTAGTTGTGAAGTGGATTTTTTTTTTAATTAGAAGAAAAACTTAAATTACACGAGTTCTAACGTGAAGTGTGCACAAATCTCCCTTTCAAAAACCAAAACCCGAGCGTGAAAAAGTAACCTTATACCATATTATTACAGCTGTTTCCAAATCCTTGTTACTCTCAGAGCATGGGGTATTATTTACCCCAAATGCATAATCTCCAATGAGTTCCCGCTGTGGCACTCAGGTACACATATGTCAATTTTCCACCTGAACACCTGGTACATGATATCCACATTAAAGAGAACACAGTGGAGGTCATTAATCAGATCCTGCACCAATGTACCATACCCACATCCTGAACAATATGTGTTTTTTAAAAAACAAACAAAAAAAAACCACTCGCTAGGTTCTTCCGATCAGAAGAGAAAAAAAACAAGTGTGTCCACAAAATGTCCTCCCAGCCGTGGTGCCCACATCCACAGCCAGAGTAACAGGCCTTAAGTAATCAAATAAATGTCAACCAGGCACTTGTCCCCCCCCTAAAAGATGAGAAGAGGTTTCGGACAGCCCCACAGTATTCTCCCAGGAGGTGACAGCCTTTTACCTAAAGTTCGGAAGCGGCTTCACCGCTGTCCCATATGGGGCCTTAAAAGCGAGTCCCATGCCCACCGCTTAACCTGCTTAACGAAATCCCGGTGCCCAGAGGCAGCCTCCCGCCTCCCCAGACCAAGGAGCCTGCCAGACAGGTAAGCAGGATGGAGCTCCCGGTGGAAAAGCTCCCTCTCTCCCAACGGCATGCGTCTCCCCAAAGTTCTCGCACGTTAAAAGTTCCAACCGGGATGACAAACGCAAGACACTCCTCTCCCCTCGGCCACAGGGCCCTTTCCGTGCTTCCCCGGCGGCCGCCGCGGGCAGGCGGGGCCCGCGCCCACTCTTGGGGAGGGTCCGGCAGGTGGCCTTGTGGAGGTGCCCCCGGGGCGACACCAAGCTGCGCACCAGGCCGCGCCGAGCAGCGCCGCCCGGGACACCGCGCCGGCCGCGAGGCCCTCGGGGCGGCGAGCGCCTCGGCGTGGCCGGCCGCGGCCGCCGCTCGGACCGGCCGGGAGGCGTCCGCTCCCCGCCCGCCGCTGCCTCCTACGCGCGCGTCTGGAGCCGCCGCCGCCGGGGCGCACGGGGCCTCGAGCCGCCGCCGCCGGGCTCCCAGGTCGGGGTCCGGCGGGCTCCGAGGGTCCCTCCGTCCCGCGGTTCCCGGTCACTCACCCTGGAGCCGGGCAGCAGCAGCGCCCACAGCAGCGGCAGCAGCAACAGCCGCCGCCGGGCGGGCATGGCGAGGACTCCGTCCCGGCTCCCGGCCCAGCCAGCCGGCTCCGGGGGACGGTGCGGGAGGGCGGAGGACGGGGCGGGGGCGCCGCGACCACAGCGCGGCGGCGGCTGGTCTTCAGCGGAGGGAGAGCTGACTAGGCGGCGGCGGCGGCGGCACCCCCATTCCCGACTCTTTAAGCGCCGGGCCGGCGCTTCTTCCGGTCGGGGCGGGCCCGGGCTGGGGGCGGGCCCGAGACTGGGCGGGGCCAGCATCGCGGGTGGGCGGGGCCGACGCGGTGGGCGGGGCCGAGGTCAGCACAGCAGGTCTAGGTCCCAGGTTGGCGTTGCTGGACAGGACAGGCCAGGCCTAGGCGTCTGCATTTCGGGGCGCCGGACAGTCGAGGCTGAGAGCTTATCCGGCGCGGGGGAAGGCCGGCTGCCCCGCCACGCGGGCGCACCCCATCCCCCAGGAGGTACCGCTCCTCCCTCCGAGGGACCCTTTGAGTCAGACTTGATCGGGGGAAAGGCCAGGAGACAGGCGGTGCCGGCCGCCCAGAGCTCCGGCTTCGTCTTCCCGCCGCGGTGGATCCCCCGGCGGCCTCCGGAGCGAGGGACAGCGGCTGCCGGGACGTCAGCAAATACAGCACTTCTGCCTGCGCCGCCGATGTATGTCGCTGACTCCACAGCCCTGGGGTCCTCCAGTTGCCACTCAGCTGGTCGGAAGGCCTTACTTCCTTTTTCTTTTCCCCCTCAGGAATTCCCCCTCAAATCATGTGCAACAGGCATCCGTTCCTTTTGGAATAAACCATGGCCACATCATTTGCCAAAAAGTATAAGCAATAAAAGGAAATCACTTAGGCTGCTGATGTCATGGTGTTTACATGGCATGTGTGTATGTGACCTCCTGAAGCTTGGGATGACATGGGTCCTCATAACTCACTGGAGCGAGTGGGTGTGGTGAGGTCCCAAACACGTTCTGTTTGAGGGTGATGGGCTATTAGCTTAAAGAGCCCAGCAGCTGTTTGGTCACTGAGTCCCATGCTGCCCTCCACTCGGAAGAGGAGACAGAAGACATAGTGTTTGTAATGAGTAAACTGAGTCGAAGTAAGACGTTGATAGATCTTAGGAAAAAAAGGGAAAGTAACTTCTCTAATCTTTCCCAACTTGCTCATAATAAAACCCAAAGTTTTTCAGGGATTTTTTGGGAAAGAAGTAAGCAATGCTGGAGAAAACAGCAAAATCGTGTGGGACTGGCCCGGGATCTGGTCTGCACAGACATGTTTGAAGCAAGGCAGTATCCTATAAATGGTTACCTGTTTCCAACCCCTACACGGAGGTCAAGGGACTAATCCCTACCAGTGCTGAGAGTCCAGAGCAGATTGAATCTTGGCAGCTTCGAAAGTAGTAGACACATCTTGAAAAGTGTTATCTGCATGTCTAAATGCAAACAGAGAGGTCTGGGATTGGCGCGGAGCTGGGTTAGAACAGAGGCCGCATCACTCCCGAGCCCTGTGCTCAGGTGCCCAGGGAGGAGCCCTCTGAGGATTACCTGTCCGGCTGGCGAGCTGACCACAGGATCTGTAAGACCACATGCTTGAGTTAAGAAAGAAGCTTGACCAAAAACACTACTTTCCCATCCCTTCTCCGCTGGTGCTTTTTCTCACACAGAGGAAGTCTGGATGGGGGAACTTTCTGTACTGAAACCCTGGCAGCCTTTGACAATTCAAAATGTCACTGTGACCGTGTAAGCACCAGTGGATGAAATACAAAGGGGAATGCTTAACCTCATTTTGACTCATAAGTCAGTTTTAACTATCCAATAAAGAGGAAAAAAATTCATCCCAAGGAGCCCAGGTCAGGTGGGTGTATATATAATCTTGAACTCAGCTGGACCTAACACCCCCAAGCCTTAACTGCACTGCTCTCAGAATTTCTTATGCACCAAGTAGGTTGTTCTTGCATTTAATCACTTGGTATGTTTTATGTAGTTCACCTGATTGGCAACTCATACGGATAAGCTTTGGTTTTATTTATGGCAGCATTGTCCATAACCTTGCTCCACAGCCAGGCATTTAGACAGCTTTTTACTTATGATAAAACAAAAAGTGGCATTACTGATAAATACCATCATAGATGGAAATATTTTGTAGGGTGCCTTTGGAGTAGATCTGCCCATATAGAATACCTTTCTGGAAGTCTAATTAAATAGCAATCTCTAAGCCAGGCAAAGGTCATGATCTAGCCGAAATCAGTTTGGCTCAGTAGATAGAGCGTCGGCCTGGGGACTGAAGGGTCCTGGGTTCGATTCCGGTCAAGGGTATGTACCTTGGTTGCGGGCACATCCCCAGTAGGGGGTGTGCAAGAGGCAACTGATTGATGATTCTCTCTCATCAATGTTTCTGACTATCACTCTCTCTTCCTCTCTGTGAAAAATCAATAAAATATATATTTTAAAATAAATAAATAAAATAAAACAGGCAAAGGTCATGATCTTATTGTAAAGATAAACCCTCTTTTTGTACTAAGGTTATATATAGATACATATATACACACACACACACACACACACACACACACACACACACCAGCAGGACCTGAATAGTATATCTGAATGTGAATGGTGGGAGAAATTTAGTTAAAATCTTATTTTCATTTCTCTCTGAAACAGCTGTTCCCAAATTTGGAGAGCTTTACAAAAACAGACTTCCAATATCTTTTCATGCCCTCTTCCCCTACTGATTCAGAATCTCCGGGGTGGAGCACAAAGGCTGTGTTTTCCAGTTCCTGCAGGTGGCTAAGGGTGCCAAGATCCTGGGATCCAGTAGACTCTTCAATCCCTACGCGGACTCTTCAATCCCTACGCGGAGTCTCTTTTGTTTATTTTAGCAAATGTCGCCCTCTAGAGGAACAAATTATGACCTCGCTTTAAAAGCGTTGGTGCCTCTCTTCTGTTTAAAACCCTTTAAAATTTCATTAAAAATGATTATAGCCGAAACTGGTTTGGCTCAGTGGATAGAGCATCGGCCTGGGGACTGAAAGGTCCCAGGTTCGATTCTGGTCAAGGGCATGTACCTTGGTTGTGGGCATAACCCCAGTGGGGAGTGTGTAGGAGGCAGCTGATTGATGTTTCTAACTCTCTATTCATCTCCCTTCCTCTCTGTAAAAAAATCAATAAAATATATTTTTAAAAAATGATTATGATGTTGGTTTGCAGATAGCTATGTAGTGAGAGGGTAGCTCCCTTTGAAAGAAAAAGTTGGTGAAATCCAAACGGGAGGTCACGGTAGAAAGCTTCAGTAACGTCTCAAAGGAACAATCTTTATGAGAATAAACTGGCTCTGGCTTATTTTTAGTGATCCCAGTGCTGTTGCCCCGGCTTCCAGACTTGAACTTACAGTGCATGTGGGGTGGTCTCGGGAGAAATGAAACGATGAAACAGAGTGCATGGTAGCAGGCTAACTTTCTTTCTCCTTCCTGTCCTCGTGTTTAAGGGAAATGGAAGAAAAACCACTGTCACTGGGAGCAGTTTGGTTCTTCAGCAAACAGAACTCTTCCTGTTGGAAGATGACTGGATCTGAAAGGACTGTGACACTCGTTCCAAACAACTTCTCTTTGCCCTAGAACCAAACCCACGAGACCCTTTCCTGTATCACGAAAGCGAATGTTCTTATAATTGCAGTTAATATTTATTGGCTGTTCTCGATTGTTTGGAAATGTGCAGAAATCCATCTCGCGTTTACGGGGTCAACTCACGTTATCTGGACAGCAGTTCTGAGATGGGTGTTACTAGCCCCATTTTTCCAGATGCCACGATGAACTATGAAAAGGTTAATAACTGAGAGAGTAATGCACAGCCTGGATTAGAACCCAGCTACCCACATGACTTCAGAGCTTGTCTAGGCTGCCCAGATGCTAGAGCGTGTCCCACTGTTAGCTGGTGATTACTCCTGCCCCTCGCACAACATTATGACAAGGTGACGTTATGTGACCTGTAAGTGTAGTGAGGCAGGAGCCCAGACTGGTGTGTGTGTCCCTGGAATGACAGCCAGAGTTTATACAAATACGTGGTGACGAAGATCATAGCCTCAAATGACAGTAAGTCTCCTCCTGATCTTATCTGAGGGTTGTGCAAAAGATTGTAGGAAATACAGCAGACATCCGGGGTTTCTGCCCTGTGGGTAGTTCAGCCCAATCCTGAGTATTTGTTCGATTGCCTCTGAGCTGTTCTGATTCACACCCATTTGTGCCAAGTTCGGCTGTCACCATGGTGTCCATAGTGTCGCCAGTGTAAATATTTTCAAAGGCCCAATGCAGCGCCAATATAGACACAGGGCCCTCAGAGTGCCACTTCCTCACTGGCCAGTGCCTCCTAACCCCCTGGAGTCTGGCATATTTTCTCAGAACCCTCTGGAAACATCTCTTAAGCAGCTCATAAACATTCTTCCTCTTGTAAAATCCCCTTGGCCATGCTTGATCTTATTTCAGGTATGTTACCAGTTCCCTTTTCTTGAACTTTTCCACTTTGAGTATTACCATTTTCTGTCTCATTTTCCTCCTTCCAGACTGTGTTTCTCAAGGCTTAATATATATATCCTACAGTATATCCCCTTTTCCGTAGGAGAGTTTATTCATAGCCATAATCAAATTTTAGAGCAGAAAGGAACTTTAGCTATAATTTCACCAGCTCCATTTTGGAAACGACTTCATCTTTGACCTCTACATTAATTACCATTCATTCATTCTTTTAAAAAATATGTATATTTTTACTGATTTCAGAGAGGAAAGGAGAGGGAGAGAGAAATAGAAACATCAATAATGAGAATCACTGATCAGTTGCCTCCTGCATATCCTCCACTGGGGATCGAGCCCACAACCTGGACATGTGCCCTAACTGGGAAGTGAACCTTGACCTCCTGGTTCATAGGTCAACACTCAACCACTGAGCCACACCAGTCAGGCCATTCATTCATTCTTTGAATGAATATCACTAAGGGCTTCTGAGTACATGGATTGGCACCACGAGG